CCACCTTGCAGCCCATTCAACTGTGAATTCTGAATTAAAATAGATATTACTTGAAGATAATTGGAGACCATTTGACTCAAAGTCGAACCAGAGGTCGACTTTTCAGCAGGATAGTGCTCTTAAGTCAAAAAAAAAAGAAGAAGCTGAAGGTCATTAGGAAGCTTCATCAAAACCTGGATTTAAATCTCATTTAAATGTTGAGGGGGAATTTGAACAAGCAAGAAAACAAGCAGGAAAACCTTTAAAAAAATCTTACAATTAAATGAATTTTGTATGAAAGAGTGGTTAAAATCTTCAGCAGGCTAATGTCTGTACTAATCTACAGTGAGTTACTTCTGCTAAAGGGGGCAATAAAACCTTTGAAGACATATTTATTGTGGATTTAATGAATAAATTGTTCAAAATCTAAACATTTACTTGCCCCAATGTGACAAAAAAGCCAACGGCTTCCATAAGATGTTCCTACATTTCTAGGTACGGTGGGAGGTTTTACAAGCCGACATGTGCAGTCGAAGTGAATTAAAGCCGCATTGGCCAGTTACAGTCGTCCTCTGATGTATTCATACACTTCCATTACAGAAAAGGCAAAAGTCACAATTGTCACTCAGATAACTAGAAACTGAAAAAGTAATAATAAATATAAATTTGCTAAATTATATTTTAGTGAAATAAGACACTGCTTTTGAACTTTAGTTGACAAGAATAATTTTTAAAAAAACAAAAAACAAAAGAATGTCCCAGACAAATGAGAGCATTTTGCTGATGAGCAGTGGGCCAGAATCCAAACACCTGTCCACAGGTGCAGAAGTCTGATGGAGAGCTACAGAAAACACTTGACTGCAGTGATTGGCTCAAAGAGTTGTTCAACTAAATATTAGTTTACGGGTCCCATCATGCTTGTTTGCTTCTCCATCCATCCATCCATTCTCTTCCGCTTATCCGGAGTCAGGTCGCGGGGGCAGCGTTTGCTTCTGTGTTTATTTATTTATGTAATATTTCTGTTGAACCACAATTCAAAAGCAAAGCCATCATGTTCATTAAATGTTTATTTATTGTTACTTTTGTCAACTTATTTCACTGACAGCTGGTGTTTTTCCTTCTTTAATGGGAGGGTATGAACACATCTGAGGACGACTGTTTATGGTGTCGATTCACAGCTTCTTATGAAGCCTCTGTTTGACAGCAGACCTGATGTTTAGGAGTTTGTTGGAAGCAGAGTACAGAGACGCTTTGTGCACCCGGATTCATTTGGTTAATCATCACCACAAACCTCCGAGCTCACAACAAAGATCTCAGTTGTTCCCAGTGAACAAACCCAAATGTTCAGTCAAATGATATTCATGAGGAGCTGCTCTGTTTAGGTGGAATGCAGCAGGTACAATTTGGGACAGTATGAGACACATAAACGAATAAAAAGGAGATATTTTAGAAAATAATAGCTTGACTTTTGGATTCAAAATCCTGAAACTAGCTTTTTCTCATATTATGCGAAGAAAGGACACACTCGTTGTACCTTCCTACAGAACAGCACTGGAGTAAATGTGCTTTAATTACATCCCATCTGCTTGGTTAATGGCCATCTTTACTCTACAGATCTTGAGTTAGTAATGAAGGTTTTATTAAAATAACAGTAAGCCAATCTTCATGTGTAAAACTGGTGTAGTGTCCCTTTAATTAGATCCTTAAAACTCATATGTTTACCGAAAAAAAAACAGTTTCCAGGATTTAAAGTATGTTTTTAAGCTGCAGAAAATGAAAACAAGTCGACAAAACAAAGCAAAACTTTAACTACAAAATATTTAATCCCCTTTAGAAAAAGGTTTTACATACATTACAGTCAAACTGCACTTCTTAAGAAGTAAGGCGCCGTCATGTCACAGGACTCCTCGTACAGCTGCAGTAGTGCTCAACAATAGTCAAGTATGCAGAAAACAATAGTATAAAACATGGCGACTTGCTGTAAAGCTTTTTAACCTGACATGCAACATTCTTACACTGAGAAGTGGTGTTTGGAAAAAGAGCAAAACTTTTCAAAATAAAATCCTGGCTGAAACATTTATGGATCACTGGGTAACTTTTTGACACCTAAAGCACGCCTGTAGCTCCCAGTCGTGCTGATTTATTTGACAAATTGTGGATTGGCAGAGCCTGAAGCCTGTTAAAATAGATTCTGTTGCAGCTGCCTGCAAGCTGAAAAGCTCACTGGATCTACAGTCTTTGTCCTGCAGCAGAACAGCGCAGTGTTCTCACATGTACGCAGACAAATGAAGCAAATGAATGTCAATTACAAATACTTTGAATAAATCAGTCGTGACTCTGTAAAAGAAAGAAACAGGCTCTGCTTACAGTCTTTTCTTGACGACATGAAGACAGAAGGATATAAAACTAAAAGTTGACCTCGCTGCTGGGCTCGACAGTGCAAATTTTCGTCGCGTCCTTCATCACAAAGCAAAGGCACCACAGTAAGAAACGCATGTACATTTTAAGTGCTTTGTGTGGAAACGGTTTTCCAGCCTCGCGTGAGACAGTTCGATATCACACCGCTGTTTCGTACTCGACAAAATTTGTCTGAGCTTCAGGAAGAAAACTCTCCGTCTCTTCCTGCGATGCTGCGGCCTGTTCGTCACTGTCTTGGTGTTTTGGAGGCGACGACCTTTGTTGAGCCGCGAGCTGCAAGAATCAGTAAAAACATGTAGTAAGTTACATCATCACTGGGATTAGACTGCACTTGTTCTGTTTATTAACAAGCTAACAGGCTCACAGTGACGATGCTAATATGCTCGTGTTTAGCAGGAATTAGCATGCTGACATTTTACTAATTATACACTCAACTGATGCAGATATTCGATCATAAATCAAACACAACAAACTAGATTTTTGACCTGACATTTTCTAAAGCGATTTGAACATATGCACTCATGTCTTTTCACTAATTTCAGCCTCCTTGTCTCCTCCGTCCTCCTGCATGTGAAAGCAAACTAATCACAAAAGACATCTCAGTTCCTAGAAATGCATCTTGAGGATCGAGGAGGTTCACTAAAGCAGGATCAAGTCTTTTTCTGCAACCGTGACATAAAGAAACATGAAACACTGCTGGAATCTACAAATCAAATATGATATACAGTTGAAACCGGACATTTACATACACTGTATGAAAAGACACAATCTTTTTTTTCCTCACTGTCTGACATTAAATCAAACTTTTCTTGTTTGTGTCATTATCCACAGTGAAACCAGTCCTGTACCGACATGGGCTGAAAGGCTACTCAGAGAGGAAGAAGACATTCCTCCAAAAGCAACATGAAAAAGCCAGATTACAGTTTGCAATAAACACACAGCGACAAAGACCTTATTTTTTGGAGACATGTCCTGTGGTCTACGTTCCTTCTCTCACCTATTGGTCATGAGATCTGGGTAATGACTGAAAGAACGAGATCGCGGATACAAGCGGCCGAAATGAGTTTCCTCTGCAGGGTGGCTGGGTGCTCCCTTAGAGATAGGGTGAGGAGCTCAGTCACACGGGAGGAGCTCGGAATAGAGCCGCTGTTCCTTCACATCGAAAGGAGCCAGTCGAGGTGGCTCGGGCATCTTTTCCGGATGCCTCCTGGACGCCTCCCTGGGGAGGTGTTCCAGGCGCGTCCCACCAGGAGGAGATCTCGGGGAAGACCCAGGACACGCTGGAGGGATTATGTCTCCAGCTGGCCTGGGAACGCCTCGGGGTCCCCCTGGAAGAGCTGGGGGAGGTGTGTGCGGATCGGGAAGTCTGGGCGGCTTTGCTAAGGCGACCTGACTCCGGATAAGTGGGAGAAGATGGATGGATGGATGTCCTGTGGTCTGATGAAACTAAAATTGAGCCATAATGACCACGGTTACATTTGGAGGAAAAAGGGGAAGGTTGCAAGCCTGACAACACCATCCCAACTGTGAAGCACGGGGGTGGCAGCATCATGTTGTCGGGATGTTTTGCTGCAGGAGGGACTGGTGCACCATGATGGCACCATGAGGAAAGAACATTATGTGGAAATAACATCTCAAGACATCAGGCAGGAAGCTAAAGCTCGGGCGCAAATGGTTCTTCAGCTGTAAATCACTCAGTCAGAATACATGTCACACTTTATTTGTGCTATTTTGTGTGCCAGGACTCTTATACCTCAACAAAAGAATAAAAATGTATGACATCTTCTCATCATATTCTGCCACATGATGAATTGATTCATAAGTAAATAAATGCTGTAAGTTATCATGAACGCTTTTCTGCTCATCTGACAGGGATCATAAAATACTGTGGTCAGTTACAGCAAAACAGCAGACAGGTGATACAGCTGTGCTACTTGACATATTCAACTGATGTTGCCAGGATGCCTAATCACAATAGCACTGATTTGCACCTTACTTCTGCACAGTTATTTATGTTTTTTCTACCTACTTGTTTCTGTATATTCTGTGTGTATAGCCTGTGTTTATATGCTGCTGGTTGCTTGAATTTCCCACGGTATTAATAAAGTATCTATCTCTATCTAATGTTCTGTAATACCCGTTTCCTTGCCTCCTTTTCTCACATCTTTGCTTCGAAAGACTAAGATGCCAGAAGAGGAGTCGATGACATACAGTTATGAGACGAGCCTTGTGTCCAGAGATGTACTTGTGGACCTCCTCCAGTCCACAAGGAGGCGCTGATGTAACTGAAGCTGCAGTAGTTTAGTTTCAGATACGCTAAAGAATGTCTTTATTATTTTAAATGTTTTATTGAACTGATATTAACATAAAGACAAAGTTTTAGTCACATTTTTGTCATTCTGTGTTTAAACTGATTATGTTTTGTCCAGTTTCAATGACCTATATCCTCTCTGTGACCTTTTTGTGTGTTAAAACAGACTTTTTTAATCAAATTATATTGAGTTGCAGCAACAGTCTTCAATATTCAGCTTCAGTGGCTACCAATTTCTGTATTTTGACTCTAAATGATGAGGAGCAGACCCAAACAATGCTGCATACATGATTACAAGTCAATATTGAGTTAAAGTTCATGGCAGGAACTTTTTTTTTCTGATGGGGCTTCAAAAATGTTGCTTTTTTGTAACTAAACTCTATCCAGTTTACTCACCGTCTGTCCCAGAGGAGTCACACAGCAGAGCTTCTTTTTGAGGTGTTCAGGTAGAAAACAAAGCAGCTTCCCTAACAAGGGATAAATTGTTCCTGGTGTCACGTCTTCTTCTTTCATTGGGCCTGAGCAGAACCACATGTATTTAAACATTACAAAAAGAAAAGCTCTGGATTACAGAGAACATGTGTAAGAACGCTCCTACCTGTGATAAAGCTGATGACCAGGCCTATTAGAATGACCGTGACGCAGTTGAACGCGCTGTACCACATGTAGGACAGCGAGTAAAACCTCTTCAGGCCGGAGGGTCGGCTAAAGAACAAAGAGATGATTGACCTGTGAGATGACCACAGCGAAAACAGAACATACTGTGCTGTCGGAGTGATTCAGACCTCAGAGTGACGTTGCTGAGAGCCGTCTGAATGGCAGCGGTCGTGTTGTCTGACAGCAGAGCGACCCGGCAGTCGGGCGGCAGCGACCTCGTGCCTGAGCTGCGAGTGACGATGCTGCCGACGCCGATCCAGAAAGACAAAGTCAGACCTGCACCCAGACCGGCCACCGCTCCCTGGAATCAAGATAACAACATTTTCCCTCTAAATCTGAATTATTTTGTGAAAAATCAAACACTTTTCAGTCTTTTTATATTAGTTGACTTCACAGCTTCAGTTAAAGAGCCCATATTAGACACATTTATGGGTGTATAATTTTATTTATGGGGTCGACTAGAATATGTTTACATGCTTTAGTGTTCAATAAACACATTATTCTTCTTATACTGTACATGAATGTTCACTCTCTTCTGTCACTTTAAGTCTCCCTCTCGAAAAGCCCAGTCTGTCTCAGTGAAAGTGAGGTAATGTTGGCTACCTTTTGTGACCCCAAATCTCTAAATACAAGGATGCAGCTTGAGCATAAGTGGCTCTAAGGAGGAAATATTTGCAGACTGCAAGGAAAATGCTCATTCTTTGTTTCAGGGCCAAACTAGCTGCTAATGTGTTACACGGTGATGTAGACATGTAACAAAGCAAAGCCTGGAATTCAAACAAGGCATTTCAGGCAGACAAGGAGCAGAGTTTTCTGTGGGAAAGTATAACTTAGACTAACAATTATAACTAGATAAATATAGAATTTGGACTTTTTAAGTTTGTAGGCCTTTTACGTAACCAAAAAAGCTGCTTTATGACATAATAATATCAAGGGAAAAGTAAAAAAAGAAAGCATCAGGTGGGCTCTTTAAGCTGTGACAAGTGCTAAAAGGAGTTCTGTTTGAAACAAATTTTATCATATTTTCAGGCAAACAAAAAGGAGTTGGTGTTGTATTTGTACAGAAAAGGGGTCTTTAAAGGACGTGTACCAGAAGGCACACTAATATCGTCAGTTTTCCAGTATTATTATAGCTGTGATTCAGTTGGTTGGAGCTGTTTCTGTGTGACGGCTTTTTCACTCACAGCCGAATGTATTTTAAACAGATATTCATCCAGAGCCAAATGTGTTTCTAGGATTCTGTCAAAGAATAATGTGACAAATGAGCAATCAACCTCTAAAGGTTCTTTAAAGGTCCCATATCGTTCCCCTTTTCAGCAAATTAATCTTGGTCTCTCATGTCCCCACAATGTGTCTTTCAGCTTAAACTACTGCAAAGACAGTTCATTTCATCATGACTGTACAACTTCTGGTTCTAGGGCTGTTCTAAGTGGGCCGTCTTGCTCCTAAATCCAACAGGCTGCTTCTGTTCCCCTTCAGGAAGAAAACACTCCCTGGGCCTGTTATTAATAGCTCTTGCTTGTAAAAGTGGGAGACAAACAAGTTGTAGGTGGGGGTAAAGGAATGGTAGGAGTAAATTTGTTTATATCATAATAACTTCTGTTTCACACCTCCAAGTTTGTAACAGCCACAAAACTTTACTAATTAAATACAGTCTTTGTTAATCTCTTGCCTGTCAAACGCACCGTCTCCAGCATTCATTTTGTTAGTGAAGACCATTGATATGTCATATTTCTCCTATTATTGTCTGACATAGAAAATAGACAGAATAATGAGTGTATATTGCAAACTGACTCATGCTCTACTTAAGTTCAACTTACGATGGAGTTGGCCCAGGGGAAGAACATCCCGAGGCAAAACAGACCAAGAATAGGGCCGCCAACCATCCCAAAGATTTTCAAAGCCACCTTGAGTTCAAACACAACAAGCAGTGAGTGCAAATATTGTGAGAAATGTTGGTTATTAGTTCACACGTCACGTTATCTTACCTGTAAAACTGAGTCTCCCATGAGGTGAGTGAGATAGGCCATGGCCAGACACAGCAGCCCATAGGACATGGCTTTTAGAGGAGACACAAGTTAAAACTTTAGACCAAACGGGCCATTTGTGATGCAGCTCTGTATCGCACGTTGCTTAATTTAAAGCTACAGAGAGCTAACCTAGAGCTTTGGACAGCAGAGTTGCTCTCGCTTCTGTCATGGCAGGAAAATGTGGTTTGATGAGGTCCTCCATTGTCACAGTGGCCAAAGAGTTGAAGGCGGACGAGATGGTGCTGCACAGGGAAAAAAGACGAGCAAAAGATCCTGCATTTTATTTTAATGTTACTTAATTAAACTTGTGCACACCATTTGTTTTGTGGCACGACTTGCTACCTACTTAATCATTTATGAAAGTTCAGCAAACAGTATTTCATATGAGAGTATTCTATATGTTTCATTTTGCATTACTGTGACGTGCAGCTACATATGCTTCAGAAAGTATCACTAATTGACCCCTGCGTTAATGTGTGCTTAAAGATTGGACTTTGAATGATGGCTTCAATTTTTTTTTTTCATATTTCAGCTCAGACTCTTGAGATTATTTCATCTACTTGTCCAATACTGAAGATTCTGAAACAATGACATGATGAGAAATACCGATGAAAAGACTCACAAAGATAAACAAAAGTGTACGCATTTTATCTATAGCTACAGGCATGTACAGAGGGGAACTGAATAAAACTTAGGTCACAAGGCTAAAACTAAAGTAGTGTATTTCAAAGGTTCTATAACAAATTTTGACATCCCGAAAGTTCTCATGTTTTGTTGAAATTGTTTCACAGAGGTGTTTTTTTCCAACTCTGTAATCATCTGAGAGGCTGAAGTCTGTGGTGCTGGTGGAGAACTATCGTAAACTTGTTATACACAGAATAAAAGTTCTGCCAAATAGTGGGTCAAATATGATAAACCATTTAGAAATCAGTGGCTGTGTAGATGTAGGTGCTCAGGACAGTGTGAGGACCAATAAAATAACAGGTAAAACTGATCGAGTGCAACAACAAACCTTCACTTTAGGTATTTTCTACTCATGTGAAATCACGTCACTAAGCTATATGGCAACACCTGAAATGGGAAAAGCTTACTAAGGCATTAATGTACTGTTTACAGATTTAGTCTTGGATATAACAAAGGGGGCACAACATATACCGACACTGCAGAAAGTCCCGTACCTGAGGGCTGCACTGAATAAACACGCGACAAACAGTCCAGGCAGGCCGGGCAGACCCTGCAGCATGTCCATCACAAAGTATATCACCATCTGTGGAAAACATTGACACATTTTCCTGGAAACTTCAGCTTGATTTGCATGCATTGATTAGTCAGGAGAAACAAAATACATATTTGACAACACAAGGTCTCTCTGCTGCTAAAAGGAATTACTGTGAAACATGCAAATAAATGCATCTTTTGCACATCTTTACATAAGCTCTCCTGATCTTTTCATGTCAACCTCTAGGACCAGGAAAAACAGGAATGGTATCAACTGCATCCACATTTTACATAAAAAAGGCGTGATGTCTTAGTGGATAACAACACTAAAAAGGGGAAATGGCAACTCACTGCATCCCTGGAAGAGCTTCCCAGCTTGTCTGAGTGATCCTCTCCACAGTACCGTGCAAACATGACCAGACCCATCACACAGCTGAGAGCCAGAGCGAGCTGCAGGGAGGGAAACACCATGTAGCAGGACCTGCAGCATAGAAAACCTCTGAGGTCAGCTTTTTTTTATTTTTTCATGCTGTTGGTTTGCATTTAACTCCTCAGAAATCACTTGTTGATTAATGTGTGAGATTTAAAAAGGATAAATATGATTTCTGAAGCTAGTCAACCAACTCCAAGCTGTTTCTGGGTGTTGTTTTTTTTTTTTAGCTCCTGTTACATTTTTCTTCATTGTGGGCTCATTTTTCACTGGGATATTAAGTCCTGCGCCTCAGTGGAAACATCACAACAATGACTAGAAGTAGAGAGAAGAATGACGAAATGTCTTCTGTGCAGTATGACACAACTATAATGCCATAATTTCTATATTTTTTTAAAAACAGGACAAAGAAAATCAACATGTACAACATTTTACCAAATACCCACAGGTGTTGTCAATACTGAGAAAAAAATGGTGGCTCCACATGCAAAAGATATCTTTTTTTATTTACATTTTGATTTGGTTTCCATAATTTTCTTCTCTCGGTTTGTTGCAGTTCAGTTTTTGTAGTTTTTCCCTGAAAAGTCTCTTAATTGTTGTCACGTAGCTGTAGGTCACAGCTGAGTCACTGATGGGTTGTGCTGTGAAATGCAGATTTCTTTTGTTTATATTTGGCTTAAATAAAATATGGTTAGAATAAATGCTTTGCTTTTAGCTAAATTTAAAAAAGACATTTGAAATGAGGTGATTTTAATGAAACATCTTGATTTTAAGTTTAAATTTGGGTAATTTTTCTGATGGAATGGCACCTCACAGACAAGTGGTTCAAAAACATCAGAAAATCTGATGGTTCCTTCTGCTTTTTTAACATTTCTGGCTCTTATAAATGGTAGGTTAGCACCAGAGGGATTCACATGAAGCAGGTATAAGGTTCCAAAATGTTTATATCTGCTATGTTACACTGCAGTGAAAAATGAGCCCACAGTGAGTAAAAACGAGACTTATTTTTGAAAATAAAAATCCTCCCTGACATCAGACACTTAGCAAAGCAAACGTAAACGCTTTCATAAAACAAAACATGAAACAGAACTGATAATTCATCTGTGAATTGTCTTTTCAGTGCAAACATACAGCACACAAGCAAACAAGCAAAGGAACGATACAGGTTGTGCTAAAGGCTGTGAACTTTACTTATTGTACCTGTTTAGTGTCCACACAGTAAAATCTGAACATGTGTGTGTGAAATACAACTGTGGAAGTGTTTACTCACTGACTTTCTTTCACACTTTTTTGTGCTAGAATTTGTGCTAAATGTACCGTCAATTTGACTTCACCATAAAGAGACTTTGCTTTATTCAGCGTACCTGACAGCTTCCTTCTCTGTACGTGCGCTGAGGTATCTTTGGACCTGAGCCTGGTTGACTCCATACAGGGACAACATGAGGAAGATCCCACCGACACCCAGAGTCCAGAAGGTGTGTCTCTCTGTAGGATCAGGGTTCAGGCTAAAATCAGAAGAGAAAAGGGTACTTTATTAAATAAATCATTTTTTAAAAAATTATTACACTAGAACAGAACAATGCAACAGTGTAAGACATGATGCATAAAATGTGTGCACAGTCCCAATAAGCATTTACTGTACAGTCTGTATCATCATTCAAGCATCATCACGTGCAGTCGTGTGTGTGATCTTTATCCAACTATCTGAATTATGAAGCCTGCAGATTTTAATCAGAACACAGGAGGTGGTTTACAAATGAGTTCTTTGCCTCTAGTTTAAGTTGTGCAAATCGGTAAAAGCTAGATGCTGGTGGTGGTACCAGTTTGTCACTCATTCAATGGATCTGTGATAAAGCGAACTCAAATCATACACTGCATTAATGGAGATCTCATTTATGGAAAAGATAAAACGTTATTGGTCTCAAAGGACATTCTTATGTTGCTCAGAAAGAAAACAAAATGACATAACGTGGTAGAAAAAATGTAGAAGAAAATGGAACCTACTTATCAAACAATGTTGGTGAATATCCACATTGTTTTTGTTATCTGCTGTCAGGTTTAGACTGAACATAAAATACTGTTTGGACCTAATGTTTTAATTTGGTCACTAAAAGCTATACAGTAAATTTACATCAAATCACTGTCAAATGCAAAAAAAAGTGTTAACTCTGCAGCTCTATTAAACTTTCGAAGACTTTTCAGCTCTTCCAGGTTTTGTTTTGTTTGTTTTTTTTATGGTTCTGAGTCTCTCTCACTGCTCTTATCACCAAATCTGTTTCCGGCAGCAGGCAGCTTGAATAACTTCTGATAAACAGGCCACAGCTTCCTGATCAGCTGTTAGCAGCTGACGGACACAGTTGGTGACGAGCAGCAGGAAGTTTAGGAGCAAAACATTCCTTCTGGAGTTGATACAGATGAAAAAGAGAGGAAATATTAGACTTCGATTGACTGAGTGGACAGAAATACAACTTCAAAAGAATGATTAGATTAGATTAGATATTAGATAGAACTTTATTGATCCCTTTGGTAGGGTACCTCAGGGAAATTATTGTTCTAGAAACAGCACAACACCGACAGAGACAGTAGCACACATCAATTAAGAAAAAAGGCAGGAAACAAAGGAGACAAATTGTAAGGAAGCACAGCAGCACGGTGTAATAATAATGTTGCTTTATAACTACTGGATGTAAAAAACATTGATGTTTCTCACAAATAAGCGCTGCCCTATTGGTTAAAAAAAGGCGGCTAATGTAGGTTTAACTCTCTTGCCTAATTAAACATAACAGAGATACAATCCTGCATCATTCTGCTCAAAAATCAATAGTATCTGACAGAAAAAATAACTTTTTAAAACTGCATAAAATAAGATTTGTAAGTGATAACAAGGACTGTTCAGCAACAACGTCCTGAAATCTGATCAATTTTCTTTCCTTCCTCTTTAATAAACTGACAAATGCGGTTTTCTTCAACATTCAGTGTTGTACAAAATCGAAAACAAAGCTGAAGGATCGTCGAGGGCACGTTACAGATGGAGTGCTTACAGAAAAGAACTTCCAAACAGTGTTTCAAACGTGGCAGCAGCGTTGGGAGCAATGTTTCACTGCACATGAAGACTCCTTCAAAGGAGACAGCAGCCAAACACTTAAATCAGGTAGTGTTTGCTTTTTATGGGAGCAGAATCATAACTTTTTGACCTCGTATTTCTCCTACAAGCTAACTTGGGACTCACTCGAGGCCAGAGATGCGGTTTCCCTCCCAGACTTTCCTCCACACTTCAGACACTCCTCCAGTCCGCAGCACTCCAACCACGATGACAGCCAGCTGCCCTGCAAACATCACCACGGTCTGAAAGACGTCTGTCCAGATGACGGCCTTCAAACCCCCCTGTGAGGAACAGACATGAAAATAAAACTAATAAATGCTGACACTAAAAAGCCAGACAGGTTTCAGTCAACAGACATAGAATGCAGGTATTTCTAAAAGGGATCCAGAAGGTGTTTTTTTTGTAGAATTACCGTCTGTCTTTGATGAAATAGATTTAATTCTTCTACAAAGCAAAGTGTATTTTCATAGGATCTTTTGAGGTACTTTTTTTTTTTTTGAGTTCTCACACCTCACACAAGAACAATAAATCCAAAGAGGAGCGACTGAATCATAGTGAACCGGTTCTGATCACAGGCAGCAAGTCTTCATCATTAAAATCTCTGGACATCAAGTAAAGCTCTATGATAACGGCTCCTAATATAACTCACCAGTGTTGTGTACAATGTGCACACCAGTCCAGTGGCCAGCACTGTTCCCCACAACTCAAATCCAGTAACTGGAAGAAAACACAGCAACACATTGACGCATACATTTTATTTATTTAAACCTAATGAGTTAAAGTAAATAAATTAACTTTTCTTACCCGCATTGAGTGCAAAAGCTGGAGTATACACACAAACGCCCATATAAATAACCTGCAGCCAAGTAAATAAAAGAAATCAGAAACAAATATAGATTTTGAAGGTAATAAATTTTACTATCCGCTGTATCCAGTGACGTAATTTAAAATCCCTATAATACATTCACGCTACAAAATGTGTGAAATTAGAAAATATAGATAAAAACAATGTTTTTCCCACTTTAAATGTAAACAAAAGTTGCAAACATAGTTTCAGAGCCGCCTAATGATTTGGAAGTTGATTACACTCCAACAGGTTAAATGCACTAAAATCTCTGACATATTTGCATGTAGTTGCTGTATGACAACAAATCATTTTAGCATTTTAACATGAAACTTCACGTCTGAACTGTTTTTTTAAAAGATGAGCACTAAAAGTTAGCTTACACCAGGTAGTATTTCAGTAATTTGCCTAAATATTGAATTATTAGTCAGCTTTGGAGCCCTCAGATCTTTAACTTTTCTGTCCCAGGTGTTCATGTGGTCCATTTGTTTTACCAAAGCCAAAGAACAGAATTTTACAACCAAATATTAAAACATGGATCTTATATTAGCGTCTTCTAGCAAAATCAGGATAATGTAATTGTTGCAATAGAGGTTCTTGGGGGTAAATTCTGTTACCATTGGCTTTATTTTTATCATAAAGACATGACAGAGTCTCATGAATAAAGAGAATATTTCCTATAATGTTAAACAGTTCCTTTACACATGCAGTGAACTATACATGCTTCACGTCTGGGAAAAAGAAAATGCTGGGAATGTTTTGGTAGATAAAGCGTGGGAATCCCTATCAAAGGAGTAAACCTTGAATCAGTGCGTTCGGACTTAACACTCTGAGGTGCTGCACCCACCATTTGAAAGATGAAGGTCAGAGTTCCACAGATGCGCACTGTTTTGCTGAAGCGCATCTCAAGATACTGTAAAACAAAACAACATGAGAACTGCAGGTCATGAAGCTGCTTCTAAACCAGTGCAAGTACAAAAAACAAACAAAAAAAAAAGAAGGCCTCAGCATACCTGATAAGCACTGGAGATGCGCAGTCTGTACAACACTGGAATGAAAACATGAGCTGGAATGAGGAGGCCCAGAAAGTAGGCGCACCCGATGAACCAGTACTGAGTGCCGTGAGTGTAGATCTCCGCTGGTACGCCGATAATCGCCACGGCCGACTGGAAGGAGGCGATGAGCGACAGGGAAACAGGAAGGCACTTCATGCTCCTGTCGGCCATCAGGAACTCCTGCGTGGTGCGCTGACGCCCGCCGGACAGAGCGTAATACAGTCCGATGGCCATGGAGGCAGCAAGTAGGACGGCGAATATCACATAGTCTACAACGGTAAAGTGCTTCTGGTCGGACAGGTCCATTTTGATCGTCTCCTGGCTGCAGCTGGAGAAGATTGTGAGCTTCTGCAGTCACACAGTCAGACAAGTGTTCTTTGTTCACACCCATCAGTCAGGAGCCTTGAAGAAGAAGAAGAAGAAAAACAGCTGGTTGAATGTGTGAGAAAGCCACCCAACGTGTTTGAGAATTCCAGATCCAAACATTTTTATCATGTTGTCAGCGCAGCAAAGAAACAAACTTTGCACATCCTGGATTCCCCTGAGCTGGTTTGTGCATCTTCCCAGATAAATGTGACGTGACCGGAGCCTCTGCAGTCACCTAAGCTGAACTGTTCGCAGCACAAAAGCATTATTATATAAGAAACGGGACTCAGCGCAGACCATGACAGTCTATAACGTAGACAAAATGAGGTCACGCAACTTCTGTGTCAACTTTCCCCTGCTTGTGCTGATCCAAAAATACTAACAACTGTTTTGGAGATGGGAGGTTCACAGGGGAGGTTCTCTGCCACTGCGACAAACAGGCAAACAGCAGCGACCTTAAGGTCACAGATATCAAAAGTTTCAACAATCACCGTCAGCTGTGGCCAGGAGAAATTTAGTCGGTCATTTTTTTCCCAGGAGAATATGCCCTTATAGCTTTTTGGCTTTGGCAACGTTAAAATATTTTAGTTAATCGAGTTAGAAATCCACGCCGACAGGGATAATAACAGCCACAACAGTTATTTGATTACCTCATTAGCGGATCAGCAAAAAATCTATCTCAAGAAATTCCCACTTTACATAAAAAATGTCAAAAATGTGCTTGTTTCCTCATCTCACATGTGAGGATTTGCAGCTTTTCTTTGTCTCACATGCTTGCAAACTGAACATCTTTAAGTTTTACCGATTCTTTAGATGGTTGGTTGGATGAAACAAATAATACAAAGAGGGCACCTTCAGGTCTAGGAAACAGTGAATGCAGTTTTCAATATTTTGTCTAACGCCAAAACCAAGAAAATCAAAAGACTGATCAGAACTTAATCATTTACTCTCATATCTAACCAAACCAGGGCTACAACTATCAGATGATTTTAATAATCTGATGGTTATCAGTTAACTATTTCTGATACACATTAGCAAACAAACAACCAAACATGTGACATCTTCCAAGAGCCAAGGAGATAAATCCATTCATTTGAGAAGCAGGAACCGCATTCTGTTGGGAATTTCTTCTTAAAAACAACTGAAACCTTTAACTCACTGTCAAATAGTTGTTCAATTTTCTGTCTTCTGAAATTTGGATTAAGTGACTAATAAGTACAGATTAAAGTACAAAATACAACAAGGTCAATACAAAACTAGCTGCTAAGGACCACAGCAAGAAATTCTGTATCTATATTAAAGTGTCTCTTGTTTATTGATGTTCTAATGTATTCAATATTTGTTCCAAATTGTGATTATATTCCTCTTGTGTGTAAATGTGGCTCCTTAATGCATCCTGTGACCCTCAAGTCTCTGACAACTGCTGCATAACTTAACTGAACATGAGGAAACATAACCACAAAATACACCTGGTCAAAAAGATGTTACACATATGTACAAGAAATGCAGTGACAGAGATAAATCCAGGTAAAATAACCTGGAACAGACTCACCTTTACACGCCAGCAGTGCAGTTAACCGGGTGAGGCTCGCCGTCAGTGGCACCATGCTGTTCGGGGAGGCGTTCAAGAGCGCCACGTTGTTTAACAGCAGCTTCTCTAATCGTTTCCATGAATTAAAACAACAACTTTAGGCAACACATGGGTGAAATCCTCTACAGAGATAACTTTCTTGTGTTTACACCTTTTGTCGTGTTCATAAAGCGCTGTAGCAACCCACCTGGCTAATCTGTCGGTCCGCTGCTCCATGTGATCGCAAACTGTTTTGAATTTTCTTCCGGGGTTGCGGTGGTGGGCGGTGTTGCTAAGAACGACGCAGCAGCCGCCAAATTTAAAAACTTGTCGTGGATGTTTACAGCTGAACAGCTTCGTGGTTGACAGAAAAATACACGAAAAGACTCGTGAAACATGGAGGCAGCTTCCACTAAAGGTATAACGGAAAGCTAACTAGCTTAGCTTAACTCTGCTAGCTAATCCGTAAAGCAGTTTGTTGTGATGCTGCGTTAGCTAGCTAATGCTAACACCGCAGGTTATTAGAGCCAGTGGTACGCGCTTATATTAAGTCGTTTGAGAGTAAATGAGAGTTTTTGCTTTTACCTGCAGGTGTTTTGAGTCATTTGAGTTTGCTGGAGGTTCAGGCAAGAAGTCGCAGGAGTCGACCTCAGCAGCAGAGTCGAGTGACGGAGCTAAAGGCTAAAGTTGAAGCGCTGAAGGTGCAGAAGGAGCAGCTGGAGGCAGAAATACAAACACACCAGGTGAGATTGTTACAGCAAGGTTCACGGTTTACACTGATAACAGTCGTAAACAGAGGCGTTGTTGACATCTGCACACACTGAGCCCAGTCCAGAAATGTGTCGTCTTTAACCTCCCTGTAAGTAGCATTTATTCTAGGGCTGCTGTGTTTGAGATTTATACAGATACATTTGAAATTTTACATTCACAGTATTTACAGACACAAAACCTTTTTTCCCCCTCACATTCCCCTGACATTAAATCAGACAAACTTTTTTCCTGTTATAGGTCAGTTAGGGTTACCAAAATTATTTCTATTTGCTAAAAGCCAGAATATTGAGAGAGATTTTTTTTTTTTTTTAGATTTTTTTTGCTTTCTTCAAAGTCAGAAGTTTACATACACTTCCTTAGTGTTTGGTAGCATTGCATTTAAACTGTATGACTTTGGTCATGAAACCTTCAGGCATCTGGAAATTGTGTCCAAGAATTAACCAGACCTGTGGAGCTCCACAACTCTCTTCCGGATATCTTGGCTGATTTCTTTAGATTTTCCCATGTTGTCCCAAAAGGAAGCAGTGTGTTTGAGGTGTCCCTTAAAATACATCCACAGGTGTGCCTCCAATTAACTCAGATGTTGTTAATTAGCCTATCAAAAGCTTCCAAAGCGATGACATCATCATCTGGGCTTTCCCAAATAGTTTAAAGGCATAGTAATCTTACTGCATGTAAACTACTGACTTTGAAGAAAGTAATAAAAAAAAAGTTCTCTCTCTCATTATTCTTGCTTTTAGCAAGTAGAAATAATTTTGGCAATCTTAGCTGACCTAAAACAGGAAAAAAGTTTGTCTGATTTAAAGTCAGACAGTGAGGAAAAAAAAGGTTCTGTGTCTTTTTATACAGTGTATGTAAAGTTCTGGTTTCAACTGTAAGCATCACACAGATAACTTGTATACACTTTTATAAGTGCTAAGTGCTTACAAAGTGCTTTGACAGACAATGCAGAATGCAACATAACAACTATTAGGAAAAAAAACAATAAGACGACAGAAACAAAAATGCCATATGTCAAAATAATAGATATAAGTTAAATAGTAAAAGCAATAAAGCCTTCTGACTTCTGACAGGTCAAAGACACCATTGCAGCTTTACATGTTGTTTTTCACAGAATCTCCAGAAACTGAGGTCATCTTTGGACAAACAATGTGCAGATGAAGACGATGTGGAAATGGAAGAAGACTCAGAGAACTCAGAACTTTTGCGGCTGATGGCCAGACATACACAACTGAAAGATCTGCTGCACGCTCATCACCTCATCGGTATCATCAGCTGTTTAATCACTTCACTTCTTGTTCTCTTCTTGTGTGATAGTAAGATGTTTTCATTGATGCTATCCAGTTGTTTCAGAGTCTTCTTTTTATTTTCCGCTGTTGTCACCAGGTGGGTATGATGTCATCAAGACTCGCCAGGGTAAAGGAGTTTGCGTATCTCTGGCGACGGCCTACGAGGGCGTCTACTTAGACACCTACAACCTGGAGATTGACCTGAAGCCAGCAGTGAGGATCAGCCGCCACAACATCCCCCCCTTCATCCCCGTGAACAGCCTTGCCAAGGAGAACAACATGCAGACACACATGAGGGCTTTTCTGGACGCCCTCAGTCAGCATCTCAACGCTTTTGCCGGTCGCAAGCAGGAGCTGAAGCTTCTTAAGGTGTTAAACTTCACTTTCTTTTGTTAGGAATATTTCAGAAAATGTCTCACAGAATAAGAATCAGTAGCCGTGTAAGTGGCTGCAAATATAAAACAAAAGATATAAAAATGAGGTTTCAGCGCCTTCATGTACAATCTACAAAAGCCACATTTATATACAGCTAACTGTTATGTACCACATGGTGAAATATGTTTATACTGCAATACTAGATTTTTTTTAAAATCCCATATTAGTATGTGAAGGTAAGATAATATTTTGTTTGTTAAAAAGAGGTCATACAGTACAACTGTTGAACAACACACTGCAGCATAAAAGCTGAAAGTTATGGTAAATATAAGAGTTTGTTAGAGACAATCTTTGGATTAGTCAATAGATAGAAAAGTAATTAGCATTTATTTGTTTGTGTGCTTGTAAAATGGCAAAACTTTACTGGTTCTTGCTTCCAAAAACCAACCTGAGCTCTGCGAAACTGACATTGTATAGACCAAAATATTTACAACACCCCAATCAGCAGGTTAACCAGGAATGAAAATAATCATATGATATATACACATACACACAGGTAATAGGTTAAACACTTCAAGCATGCCAGCATTGTTGTTTTAACAGCTACATTCAGACTAAATTCATGAAATAATTTTGTTTTTTGTTGGAAATATTGAGAACTGGAAGTAAATTTTTTAAACAAACATATCAAGCTTGAATTAAGAAAATGAAGCTTCAAACATAAATAAAAAATCAACAGCCTATTGAACATGGCAGTGCTGCAGGGGTTTTATTTAGGAAATTCTGAATGCCTATTTTTTTATGACACTCTAATACCTGTGGTAATCCCACCTAGTCTAAGAACACTGGCCCAGCAGTATGGCTATGTGCAGAACTTATAATGCAATTTTTTAAACAGCACCAGGTATCTTAGGTACACATTAAGGCAGGTGGGTTGTTCTAAGCATCTTGCTACAGTTCTTCTGTCTCATCATGTAATCCCAGACTGACTAAATAATGTTGACAATCAGAACTTTGACATCTGTTGTTTGCTCTTGTGGCTCAAGAAAGTTGTGTGATTCTGGCTTGTTGTTCTGCTGCAGAGTGAATTAGCGCCTCCACTGCAAGACTGATAAACATGTAAAGTCCCTGAAGCTTTTGCACAGTAGTTTATATCAACCCAATCACTCCTCTCGTATGCTTGTGGTGCTAAGCAGTAAACATCTTTGCTATTGACACTGAACTTTTGTTCTGTTCATCCATTTTGAAAGATTTAGAAACTATACATTTTTCTCGTACTGGTTTAAGTTTTTGTTTTTTGGGGGGTTTTTTTGCGCTGTAAGGTAAACACAACTATTAATAGTAGCACAAAGATGTTATTCTGTTTATTCTCAAAGGATATCGAACTGACATTTTCCATTTGCTTGTTTCTAGGAGCAACACAAGTCCGTCGAAGTGATGGAGAGTAATGTTCTGTGTTCGATACTGGTGCTGATGTTCACGGTGCCGAAAGAGAAGACGGCCGTTCTCTGCACGTTGGACTACATCGACCACAGCAGTTGTCTTCCAAAGAGAGTCCACCTCGAATGTGAAGGTACGATTTGAACAGAAACCGGCTCTGAAAACACTGAATAAACCAGTTCTTTTTTCACTGTTCTCTGCCGTCACATGAATAGTGCTTCACATTTCAGTAGCTTCGCAACAAGCACAGGATCATTTTTATTCTTTGGAACATCACATTAGAGCCGAAACAATCAGCAAATTCATTAGATTGTTTTTAACAGTTTCAACAAGCATTTCTCTGATTGTAAGATTTCGTCTTTTTGCTCTTTTACATCTTTTTAAGTTGGGTTTTGGGACAACAAGCAACTCAAAATGATGCCTGTCAAAATGTTCTGATGTTTTATTAAACAAATAAGTGATCATTTAAGCAATTGCAGCCTTTCATCACACAAACATCCACTTCTGTTGAATTTCCCTTCTGGGATAAATAAAGTATTTTTCATTCTGTGTCGAGCTGCAACTAAAGAATATTTTCATTGTCAACTATTGTCTCGATTAGTTGTTTGATCCATAGCATGTCAGAAATTGGGAAAAACATCGGTCAGTGTTTCTCAAAACCCAAAACGACGTCTTCAAATGTCTTGTTTTTCCCGAAACCCAAAGATATTCAGTTTACTGTCCTAAAAGAGTAAAAAAAAAAACGGACAATACTGAAATTTAGGAAGCTGAAATAAAAGTATTTTGACATTTTTTCTCAAAAAAATTACTCAGCTTAAATAATCGATTAACAAAATAGCTGGTGATTGACCTAATCGTTAACAACTGATCAATTAATCATTGCACCTCTACTTTTTTGGAAAGGTCAGAAGTTGAATCAAAAGTCAGTTTGTTCAGAAAGTTAGTTTACAAATGTGTGAGGTGTTTGTTACAAACTTCAAATATTGTAATGCAGTTTTTATTAACTTACATTTTTTTGTAATATTTGTCTGTTTTTCTTGCAGACAAGCAGCTTCCCGACTCTCCACAGTGGAAGAAAAACTGCAGCTTACTTATGGAGACTCCAGTGCACACAGCTTTGACCGCCATGAGGAAAGTGGGGGATATTGTTTAATTTATTCAGCCAAGTGTATAAAATCAGCTTCGTTTTAACATTTTGACAAAATAGTCATGTACATACTCATTGTTTATGATGGAACACTATCAGTTTTCTTGTGTTGAGGTATTGAGTTGTAAATAAAACTTTTACGTTCCTCTATGTGGGCTCCACTGGTGTTTCCATGTTGTTTTTTTCTTTCAGTTTTTCGATGAACGCCATCACTCTGTTGTGTAATGTTTCTCTCTGAAGCTCCATTTCCTCTCGAGCTCTCTGCCGTCGCCTCGCCCACTCTTTCTCCGATATCGAGTCGATTCCTGCGATGTTCTTCATCTGCCTGAGCGACAGGCTGCTCTGGATGTTTCCTCTGTGTCTCACTGAACTCGTGGGTTGAACCGGTGGTGCTGAAACGGATCGATTCTGCTCCGTCAGCGCCGCTTCCTCCCTGTGATTTTGGTACATCCGTCCATCAGACGTGTGAATACCCCTGCTGAGGTTTTTGTGTTCGCCTATTTCTTTCATGGCGATGCTGACCGTCGCCATTGGTTCGCAGACTTTCACCATCATCACTCTTCTCCTTTCGCTCATCAGAGAGTCTTTTCTTTGCTGAAGCATTCTGCGGGTGTGCCTGTACTGTTTGTCCAACATGTTCAGTTTGTGCTGCAGATCTCGTTCCTCCTTTTGGTTCAGCACTCGCAGCTCTCTCTGCAGCACAGATCTTCTATAGATCACATCCATCACACGCACGTTCTAAAGGAAGAAAAACATCTCTTGTCACCTTTTCTTCCCTGTAAATTAAAGACAAACATGCTCTTTTCTTACCTGATTTGTGTGCGGTCATAGAGGTGTGTTTGCTACCATGGCGGTGGCTGTAATATAATAGCCCATTGTGATGTGTGGATGGATTGTTGCTCAGTGCAAACGTGTAGTTACTGTGCATCGACACATTCCATAAAGATTAAGTTTCAGCACAGTCACGGGGCTTCCTGCACATTACACAACCAGTAAAGTCATGACTTGTCATGCTGCTGCTGCTGCCTCACATGATCCCTCACTGTTTGGGGTGTGATTTACAATTAGGGTTGTGAAAATGGTGCTGAAACCTCATAATGAAACTAATTCTAATGAATGAGTTCTGCATTATCTGTGGTCAGTTCGTTAGAGTAGTGGTAAAGCATTGTTAGGAAATGTGTGAGAATCCAACTCCAGCTATTGCTTTCCAACTTCTATTGCATGTATATTAAAAGCAAAAAAGGATTTTGCAATTTAAGAGATACCAGATTACAAAAGTTGTCTTTTGACTGAGGTTTGCACACGTCTACGCAAGTTTACAAATTTTTTTTTTAAATTAATTGACCAATTTTGTTTCTCTTTTCCCAGTTTTGTTTTACTGTAAACTCAATCTTAGAGCTGCAACAATTAGTGAATTTAATTAATGTGCAACTGTTTTGACAATCAATCGGTTTGAGACGTATGTGAAAATAAAAAGCTCCAAATTTTCTGTTTCCAGCTTCTTCCATGTGAATATTTTATGGTTTCTTTCCTCCTCTATGACAGTAAATTCAATGTCTTTGGGTTGTAGGTAAAACAAGACACTTGATCCTTGCACGTTGGGAAAAAAGTGATCAACATTTTTCACCACTGTCTGACATTTTATAGACCAAAGAACAATAATCAATGATAAAAAGAACGATTAGCTGCAGCCCTACACAATATAATTGGATTTTGAAGGTGTTATTTTGGGCTCTGAACTTTTTAAAGGGAATTTTCAGATCAAACAATGAACTGATAATAGAGAAAAATTAATCAATATTCATAATATAGTAATAAAATAGTAATCCATATCCATAATAAATAATTCAAGCTTATTCTTTCCTAGTATGAAATAACAATGAAAGAGAGAAAACCGAATATACACATTCAAATGTTATTTACAATTTATTTTGTTATTTTGAAAGAAACAGCTCACGAGGTTGAGCTGGCACTCCCCTTATCAGGCAGCAGTCCCGATGTGGAGGTCATGATTCCGTTTGGGCTGCAAGGTGGAGCAGTTGGTAGCACTGTTGCCTTGCAGCTAGAAGGTCACCAGTTCGCGTCCCGGTGGGGGCACCGGGATTGTTCGTTCTCCCCGTGCAGCGTGGGTTCTCTCCAGGTTCTCCGGCTTCCTCCCACACAGTCCAAAAACATGTTGAGGTTAATTGGTGATTCTAAATTGTCCGTAGGTGTGAATGTGAGTGTGCTTGGTTGTCTGTCTCTAAGTGTAGCCCTGTGATAGACTGGTGACCTGTCCAGGGTGTCTCCTGCCTTCACCCTGAGTCAGCTGGGATAGACTCCAGCCCCCCGTGACCCTAATGAGGATTAAGCGGTGTATAGATGATGGATGGATGGATGGATGAAAGAAACACCAAACAAACTGACAACAAACAATTATTCTTCAGTATGACTTTCTGTTAAATCCAGATCTTTCACATAGTTCATGAAGGCTCCCTAAACTTTGTCTGTTTTTTCTTTCTTTGTCTATAGAATAGAATAGAATGCTTTTATTGTCATCATACACAAAGTACAACAAAATTAAAAGACAACTCCAGTGGTGCAAAATACAAGTATAAAACAGACAAATAAGAATATATAAATATATCTACAAAAGGAGCCAGTAGGAAGCATATACAGTTAGGAATGAGCCTGGTCATAGCCAAATGGTAGAAAAAAAAACCACATTGCATTGTTGAGGTAAGAACACTGTGGATATATGATAAATATAAATAAATAGTTAGAAATAATATGGAATAGTATATATAAAATGCAATATAATATAATATATGATAATTATAAATGCATATTCTCTCTAGTAGAAGGTTTAATATCATGTCTTATCCAGTGAAGAATAGTGGGTTTTCTCCTTGTACAAATCAACCAACTTGTTGGCATTTAGAAAACTGGGGTTCTTATTTTAAATGTATATGAGTACGTTATTTTGGACACCAACAGTAAAAAAAAAAACAAAAAAACAAAAAACAAACAAACTTGGGGTCTAATTAAATTCATTTTGAAGTAATCTTCTCACATGTAGGACAGACTCTTCTTCCTAAAATGCTTTAACCGTTCTGCACTGAAAACACAGTGAAACTATGTTTTCTCTTTACTTTTACTTCTTGTTTTGTAACCCAATCATAAAAATTAACTGTTGAACTTAGTCTGCTCAGTTAACATCCTCCAGATTTCCAGAGACAAGATTTTAGGAGTCTGTTTTTGGTTCATTCTTGGATAAATAAATATTCTAAATGATACTGCAGTATCCCTTTAACAGCCCCTGACTTTGGGAGGAGAGCCTCCCCCTCTGGAGTTTGATCCCTCCCGAGCCAAACTGAGTCCAGACTCGATGATGGCTCAACAAAACTTCCTAAAAAGTCAGTCAGCCTCCTCAAAGCTGACTGACTGTTGACCCTGCAGGCTGGTGAGTTCATCTTCTCTCATGTAAAGTCTGAATAATTTACATGCAGCAGGATGATTCGCTACCAATTATCAGCTGTACATTTTCTACAAAATCCTGCATTTTCTGCTTTTATTCCTTCCAGTAATTTAACCTGATCAATCATCTGTATTGAATTAAATGGTTTAATTAAAGTTTTGAGGCTACCGCGCATGCGCATTGCGTAACTCCTTATTACAATGTAATCGTGGAAGTTCACCGTTTCTCTTGTCTTTACTGGACCACGTTAGGTCTACTACTGCTTTCTGTTCTCTCCTGCGGTTTCCCTTCTTCTTCTGCTTCCTCCTTTTTCTTATGCTAAACAGTTCTATTATTATTCGAACGCCTTTCACTACACAATAAAGCTAGCTGCTAACTAGCTTTAACGCTGCACTGGTGGGACGGAAACCCAAAGGGGTCATAATTGATGCGTGCGCGCTATTTTTTCATGTTTGTACTCGGAGTGGTTCAGCAAAAATAATACAGGAACATCAACAACAACAATATTACAAGATGTTCCAGTTACCGCTAGAGATTTTTCTGATGGTTTTTGGTCTTTATATACCCGTGCACATTTGGAGATTCTG